GCGGCCGGGGCCCGTGCCGCCGGGGCGCGCGCAGGGGTGGGTAGGCAACCCGCTGAGTCCGACGAGCGCGGCGAGCACGACGGGCAGGCCCTGGAGGCGTAGCGCGGCGCTGGCCCTTCTGGCCGTAGCCCCTGACCAGCCCATCCCCGCCCTGCCTGGCCCCGCCCCGCCCCGTCCTCACCTCCGCGGAGCTCCCGCCGTGTGTGGCGCGCGCCATGTCCGTCGGGCTCCCCCGCGCCCGCGGCCGCGCTCCCGCCCGAGGCCGTGCCCGCCGTGCCCCAGCCGCGCGCCGCTCCCTTGGCATGGCGGTCACGTCGTCGTTATAAAATCGCGGAGCCGCCACCCGGCCAGCGGGACGGAGAGATCCATCAATGAGGTGTGCCTGACGCTGCGCCGCGCCCCGCCACGCCACGCCGCAGGTGAGTACAGGCTCACGTGGGCCGCCGCCAGGGCCGCAGGGAGGCCCCTGTAGGATTAGGGCGGCTGAGCTGGGCCGGGCCGTGAGAACGCGGCCCCCCTGGAGTCCCCCGGGGGGTTGGAATCTCTGTCGACGAGGCCGTGCTGCTCCTGAATGCCCTGCCCCTCTCCTGCCGTGCCACGCGCGCTCTCTCCCCTCCGTTTGTCCATCTCACCCCATTCTCTGCTACTTTCATGTCCTATTCAGCCAAAAGAGAGCAGCGACCAAAAAACAATTCCGTACAGAGGGGGAAAATGAAGAATATATATGTGAAAATTTTGAGGGCGCGCGTGATCGGGAGTCAAAGTGAAAAACACGCGGGCCTGATGAAATTAAGGGAGGGTTAGGAGGTGCGCGGGACGGAGGCTGTCTGTATCGATTGGTCTGTTACAGCGCTGGGTGGGGAGGGCACAGCTACCCCCCACGTCTATGCACAGTAACATTTTCGGGTGTGTCGTCAGGGAAAAGTTTCAACTGTGCAAAGTTTCTTTTTCTCACGCGGCTATTTCTTTTTTTAGCGGGTCAAATTTTCAAAGTGTGTAGTTTCATCGATTTTTGAGCGGGGTTTTCCAATTCCAGTAGGCCTATGACCTACTTCCACCAGGGGGAGAGGGAGAGAGAGGGTAGTGGTGGGGGGCAGCTCCACCCGCTGCCATGTAAAACAAAATGGCGACGGCCGTCACGTTCCGAGCACGCCATCGTCGCGAAAATGTTGCAAATTGAATTTGCGGGCCGGGTTTTTACCGTCGGAACGGGCGCGTCGTGCCGCGCGAATGCCCTGTTCGCCCAGTGAGGTGAAAGTGAAAACTGTTTCTCGCCCTCGGCGCCCAGGACTTTGCAGTAAGTGATATGCGGCGGGGCGTCCTGGGGGGCGCTGCGGCTCGTAGACTGTTGGAAATAATTCTCGTGCCCCGAGCAGCAGAAAACGCCATTTGTCTTTTGGAACGTAGCCGCCACCCATTAAAACTAAACGGTGTTGATGCTGCTGCTGTAAACTAAATTAACTGTTATGGAGGCTGTAGACTTGAGCAGTGGCCAGAGGAGAGAAAATGACTTTGGGGCTAGAAAAGTGAAGAGTTGCGTGTGGTTTAAAATAATTTTTACTAAGACCATTCTTACTAATACCTTTTTCGTGCTGTACTTTCTTTTTATTTTTCAGAATGTGGCATCTGAGTTCGCTCACGTTAGACTGTTAGCTTAGTGGAGCACGTCGTTGCCGATTTTTCCTGAAGTTGAAACACTTCGGACGCCAAGATGCCTGGATTTGGAGCCTTGGCAGGCCTCAAGGACAAGGCCCTGTCCGTCTACGCCAGGTAAGAGAATCTTCATTTTAATTTCGGTTGCAGGGACTGCTTGAAAATTATTCGCAGAAACTATATGCCAGCAAACAAAACTAAAATTTCTGGTTTTCTGGTTCTTCTCAATGTATACATTTTTCTTTGCTGCGTATTGTACGACGGACGTAACGAGACCCGGCCGCGGGCCGTTTGCACAGCTTTTCTCCGTATATCCTGTCCCCGTCCCCTCCCCTCCGTCCAGCGCGCGCCATCCGGAGTGGGAGGGGAGGGGGGGTGGAGGAGAGGGGTGGGGGCAGGGGCAGTATCCGCCGTCACCGAGGCGCGATGTGGAAGAAAGCGACTTCCGGTTCCATTGTCATGCAATGCCACCCCCACCCCACCCGCTCCCTCTCTGTGCCTTTCACCCCGTCGGACCCAACATTGACCTGGTGTTGACGGATGGAATGGGTCCAGTATACTACTTGATCGGCGGCTGTAACTGCGACAGACAACATCGGATCGACACTAAAGAAGGGATGG